CTATTTGAGATTAACGATAACTTTATTCCATAAAATATAGAAACTTTCTCCACTATGGCTCAATTTCTTTCCACTCCTTTGTGCTATGTTAGAAACTCAGCAGTACAATTTTATGATTATTGTTTTATGCAGTTGCCTTTTATATCAGTTCGGAGAAAGAAAAAATACATTTATACTATCCTTTAATAGTTATCTACATTATTTTCTTTTATTGGTGCTCTTTGCTTGTTTGGATTTGATTTACCATTGGTGTTCCTTTCAGTATGAAAAAATTCTTTTAGTATTTTTTTAGCGATAGATTATCTCAGTCTCTGTTTATTTGGGTTTACCTTTATCTTGCCTTCATTTTTGAAAGATAGTTATGCTGGATATAGAATTCTTGGTTGACAGTTATTTTATTTGAATATGTCATTTCACTGCCTTCTTGCTTTTATTTGTAATGAGAAGTTAGCTGTTAACCTACAAAGATTTCCTTGTATGTGACAAGTTGCTTTTCTTTTTCTGTTTTCAAGATTTTCTTTTGTTTTGGCTTTTAAGATTTATACTACGATGTCTCTGGGCGTTGATTTGCTGATTCTTTCTTCTGCCAACTCGAATCTGATGATGAACTCAAATTTTAGTGAATTTTTCCATTTAATTTATTGTACTTTTCAACTCCTAAATTTCTCTTTGATTCTTTTTTGTAATTTCTATTTCACTGATATTTTCTATTTGATGATCACTGTTGTTGTATGTTTGTTTAATTATTTAAATATCTTTTCTTTTCTTTGAACGTACTTATAATAGATGTTTTGAAGTCTCTGTGTACTAGGTCTTACATATGAACACCCTCAGAGATAGTTTCTGTTGATTACTTTGTATACTTTTCACATTTCATAATTTTTTGCTGAAAACTAGTAATTTTGGGTTATACTTTACAGCAACTCTGAATTCTGATTTCCTCTCTCCAGGGGATAGTTGTTATTACTCTTGGTTTATTTGTTTAGTGACTTGCCTGGACTATACTTGTGGTGTTTATTTCCCTGCAGTGTGTGGTCTCTGATGTCTGTGCTCAGTCTCCCCTGCAAACCCCCAATTCTTTCTATTTTTAGGACCGGCTTCTTATGCATTACTCCTGGGTCACTATAACTTAGTTGTCAGCCAGTGATTGGTTGGAGGTTGTTTAACCAGTAAGGCTTTTGCTCTTTGATATGGGATATGTATGTATGTATGTTTGTGTGTGTGTATATATGTATGTATGTATGTATTGGATAATGTTTTCAAAGTTCAGGGAGTTTACAAGTCTGACTCATTTTTTTTTTTTTTACTTACTGTGTTTACAGGGCCTCTTGGTCAACAATGAATGAGTAGCTTGTTAGGGCCTTCTCTGTTGTCTTCTAATTAAGCACAACCTGGCACATACAGCTAGCTTTTCAGACGCCCAGGGATATATGAAGTAATAGCAAGGCCATCTTTGGCTGTCTTGTTCTCTGGATCTTTCTGTTAATTTTCTGGCTTGGCTTCTGTTTTGTTGTTTGTACTAATATTGTGACTTCAGGCTAGCCTTTCCTTATTGTTTCTGAGATTTTGGTTGTTTCGACAACTTTGCCTAGTTTTGTCATTGCTTTTTGAGGAGATTTGCCAAGCTCCTAACTTACAATTCTTGAAGTGTGTGTGCGTGTGTGTGTGTGTGTGTGTATGTATGTATGTTTTGGTGGTAAAAACCACATAAAATTTACCTGCTTAAACATTTTTAAGTTTGCAGTAGTATCAATTATATGTATATTGTTGCTTAGCAAATCTTTTTCATCTTTCAAACCTAAACTCTGTGCCTACTAGAGAATTCCCTTTTCCCCCAGTCCCTGACAACCACCATTCTATTTTTTGTTTCTGAGAATTTGGCTCCTTTAGATACCTCATATAAATGGAATCATGTAATATATGTCTTTTTGTGGCTGACCTATTTCGCTTAGCATAATGTCCTCAATGTTCATTCATGTTGTAACTTAGGACAGATTTTCCTTTTTTTTTGGAGACTGAATAATATTTGATTGTATGTATGTACCACATTTTTGTTATCCATTTATCTTTTGATGGCCCGATTGCTTCCAACGCTACGCCATTGTGAATAATGCTGTAATGGAAATGGTTTTGCAAGTATCTTTTTGAGATCCTGCTTTCAGTTCTTTTTGGTATATACTCAGAACGGAGATTGCTGTATCATACGGTAGTTTTATTTTTAATTTTTGAGAATTCTCCCCCCCCCCCATAGAGTTTTCTTCAATAGTGTACCATTTTACATTTTCATCAATAGGGTACAAGAGTTCTGATTTCTTTACATCCTTGCCAATACTTGTTACTTTATTTTTGGTCGTGGCCATTCCGACAGGTAAGAGATAATAAGCCATTATGGTTTTGATTTGCATTTCTCTGATGATTAATGATGTTGAATATCTTTTTGTATACTTGTTGGCCATTTTGTGTATGTTCTTTTGAGAAATGTCTCTTCAAGTCCTTTATCCATTTAAAATTTGGATTACTTGTTGAGTTGTAGTAGTTCTTCATGTATTCTAGATATTAACAGCTTATTACAGAGATAGTTTGCAGATATTTTCTCTCATTCTTTAGGTTTGAATTAGTCCTATTTGTCAGTTTTTGCTTTTGTTGCCTATGTTCACTTTTAAAGTGTCCCTTTATTCCACGTTAGAATATTTTGTAATAGCCTACCTAGAATTAGATCTTTGAGAGCTATTCAACCCTCTTCTTAAATTCTTTGCTACTAATGTCCTTTGAATAGTCATAGATGTTCTGGTTTTAGGGATGCATTTTGTATTGTGTATTTTTGAATAGTTACAAATGAATAAAAAATTTTAAGTTTTAGGATGTATTTTAAGAAGGAAAGGGAATGAGAAGGAAATCATTTATTGTGCTTATCTTAGGGATCCATCTGTTTGCCTTTGATAAAATGTATATGTGTTCTCATGTGTTTATCACAAGTCTGTAATGAGGAAATGGAAACAATCTTGCTTATAGTCAGATGATTAATAAGTGTTTAACTTCATTCGGATTTCCCATGTTGGCAATGTGGTCCAAAATTTCATGTTCTAATGTAGACTGCTGCCTCTTGTGTTACTGTTTGGTTAATAGTTCAGTTGATTAGTAGCATTCTGATGATACTGAGGTCTTAAATTTGATTCATGTGTCTTTTAACTTCTCCCTGAGAAAATCTAGTTTGGCCCATAGATTGCAACTTTGAGCCATTTCACAAGTATATCATTGTTATATAAATCAGGGAGTGGTAGAGGTGGAAATATCATTGGTTCATTGTCCAGATAGATGCATTTGGAAAGGCATTCAGTGCTTGTAATGGAAGTATAGATGCAGTATAATTGTGGTTAAGAGCAAGGGCTTGGCATCATATTTTCCAGTTTTGAGTCCTGCTATCCTAGATGAATCATTTCGGGAAGTTACTCAACCTTTCCATGTCTCATATTCTTTATCTGTATTTACATTTTGGGATCTTTATAAACATTGTTGTATGCAAGGCAAAGTTCTTAGAAAAGTACCTGGTACAGAGTAAATATTCAGTAAATATTGCCTTTGTTATGGACATGGAACAAATTATAATCTGTACCAGTTGATTAATGCTTGAAATTATTGCATCTTTAAAATTAATGTAATAATGAAAAATATTTAAAAATCATGGCATTTGATTAGACTAGAGTAGTAGAAATAGATTTTTTAGTATTCTGCTCTTTAGAAAAACTTGCAAAAACATACATTAGGCCCATATATTTGTAATAATAATAATAGCATCTTAATAATGATTGCTCTTTAAGGAAGACAGTGCTGTAAGTACTTTATACAAGTTAATTAGTTTAATCCTCAAAGGTACTATTATTTTTTTTAACACCTACGGCAGCTGGTATTCCTAGGTGGTCTCCCATCCAAGTACTAACCAGGTCTGACCCTGCTTAGTTTCTGAGGTCAGACAAGACGGGCACATTCAGGGTGTCATGGCCGTAGACTCAAAGATACTGTTCTTATCCAAATTTTACAGATAAAAAAACTGAGGCACAGATACATTATACAAGTTGCCCACTGTCACTGGGCTACTAGGTAGGATTTAAATCCATGTGTGCTGGCTCCAGAGTTATTATTGGTCTTAACCACTTTACCATACTGCCTATGTTTAGCTGTATTGCTACTATTTTGCTAAAAAGTAGGTAAGCAATTGTTGGATGAATGAATAAATGTAGTAATTATCTTAATTTTCACAAACAGTTATAATAACTGTAAAAATGTGATTGAAATACAGTCTAAATACAATTTATTTTTTTCCTTTGTTGATTTGTAACAAAAATTTTATTTGAAAGTGAAATGAGTTAGTATAAAGTGATCGTAGTGATAGTTATGTTTTAATTTTTAACGTTCTCTCTAATAATAATGAAAAACATTCAGAATACATTTCAGATTTATGACCAAATAGTATCCAGGTACAGTCTCTAATTAGGTAAAGCTTAGTAAGTTTTTTTTTTAAGGTTGATCAATTTTTATTTTGTCAGGTCATTCTCCTGTCTCACCTTCAATTCCCTGTTCAACTTGCCTTACAATCCTGTTCTAGCTGTAGTTTAAAACACATTTTGAGGACATATTTTTAGTGGAGATTTTAAACATCATACCATTGCAGTTATCTCAAATACTGCTGCTCTCTCTCTACTACTGTTACTACAACCACCACTACTATATATGAGCCTTTGTCATGTCCTAGGTATTGTATATTATTTCCATTCAGCAGAGTAAGAAACTGAGGCCTAGACAAGTTAAGTAGCTTGTTAAATATAACTTGCACAATTAGTTTTTTGTAGTTTAACAAGGTATTTGATGCTACTTTTTGACAAACAATAATTCTTAAACTGTATTTGTGTTGGAGATTTCATTTTTCTTTTAAGAAAGTAATTTGAATATTAGAAAAAAAGATTAAGTACTTACTAATTTTTATTTAATATTTGTGTTTTAAGGAATTGAAATTACCTTTCACTTTTTTAAGTGGACATATTCATGAATTGAGGATCCATGTACCATGGACAAAACTGGGTTCGGAATCAGTGGTGATTACCATCAACACAATGGAATGCATTTTGAAACTTAAAGATGGAATGCAGGTATGAAATTATTGAAACTAGTTGTTTATATTAACCAATTTTATAGTTATTAGTGTTTGATAGTTCTTTAACTTTTGGGATATGTCAACTTTTATATAAATTAATCTTATATACTAATTATTTTTACATGCCTATTGAAGTAACACAATTAATTGCAAAAGGGTGTTATTAAATTTGTATTAAATGTCCTAAGGGATATTTTAATACTGATTTCACTTATCTGATCATAGCCCTCATAGGGATCATGTAGATTGCTTATTATCTATATATTCATTATAGGTGGGGCCTAATTGTGTCCAATTTTCAGGCGAAGGTTTTTGAATTTTTGCAAAGTAACTGCATGATTTTTTATTTACATGACATTTCTAAATAAGGTGACAACTTCTCAAGTTATTTTTTGAGAAGATAAAAATATATTGAATCTGACTTTATATACCAAATTTTATTGTTGTCTTTGAAGTTTTGGCATCAGAAATGGATTTTTTTCTGACTTATTCTCTGACCTATCATATTTCTTTTTAGTGTTTTTTATAAAGATGTAATATTGATTTTAAGGAGTTTGTACCAAAATTTTTCTAATCTAGAAAAATAGGTCTGGACAGCAGCATAATTGTGATGCATTTTTCTATTTTCATCTTGCAGAAAAGTAGTGTCTGTCGTTTGTTTTTATTACTTTTTCCTTAACTCACATTTAACTTTCTGTTTTAAGGAATGCTTTCTGGAACCAGATGAATTGAGGAGAATTAGTAAATTGACTATTTTCATAAGCACCTTAAGGCAGTATTAGTGTATCCTTATAAATATAACAAGTCTCTGTGAAATTAGTTAAGATTATTTATGAATTGTTAGAATCATTTTCTATTTTAAGTGGATATGTTGAGTGTCATATCAACTCAAATTTTTTTTTTTTCTTTTATGAAATCTTTGATTTAAATCTGGATTACCCAATTTAACTTAACTAATATAGTTCCTGGAAGTAAGAATATCAATGCTATATTTTCCCATGAAAATTTATTTTGTGAACTTTAAATATTTGGTAGATTGATTTAATAATCTATAGATAGTTATATTGCAACAGAGTTTTATTTTACATTTGTATTTGATAATACTTAAATGATTCTTAATTATCATCTGTTCTTGGAATTTAATTTTTTATAAAAGTCTGGTCTTGGTTATGCCACCCATGCAGTGTTCCATATTACCAGAAAAAGAATCCAGACACTTTTTTCAATGGGAAGGTGAAAGTTTCAAGGCCAGATGTCCCATAAGAAACACATTTTAGAAAAGGCAAATTACAACTAATTATAAAGTCCGCAGAAAAAGATTTGTAACACATGACTTAGTGCCACCTAGAACTAATATTTGATATTGGACTGTGCAGATGGCTACTGCAGGAATGATCAGATTTCCTTCTTGTATGGCATTTGAGACTTTGGTGGTGTGTACAGCATAAGGTCAAAGTGTTATGATTGTAAACCACTCTCAAAACAAGTAATTTTTACAGATGTTTAAAATTTTGAGGTAGAAAGGATTTTTGAGAATTGTAGGTTTCATTTGGACAAATTATTCAGCAGCGTATACCCTTGGAGAGTAGTACTTGAATTTATGCTGGTGATTGGAATTTATTTTTCAGTAAGAAGATTATAGATGAAACACATTTTTTTAACAGTTTATTTTCTTGTTTTAAGCATGATTAATAAAGTAGAAAATAAAGTTAGAAAATTACACATGTACTTGTAAAACTGAATAAATTATTTCAAATTATTACATTATAGAATCACAATGAAGACTTTTTTCCTAAAAAAAAATTAGTGTGGGATGGTATGTTAAATGGAGGGGCCCTTAAGAGTTATAGATATTAAACCGTTAAAAGTAATACTAATGGGAATATAATTTAGAAGTTAGTAATCTGAAGTTTAATTCAGAAAAGATCGTTACAAAAATATAATATTGCTAAGTGCCTTGATAAGTTATGTTTAATTTGTAAAGTTTAATTCTACCAGCATTAGTTGATTTCTTACTCTTCAGTGCATTACTTCAAAAGCATTGCTAAGAATTTTATATAATTTTCTCCACAAAAGACAATTAGATTTATAATGATTTGAGTATGATTCTAGTGAAAATAGTTATAATATACTGCCTTTATATATCTTTGTAAGTAGTTCTAATTATAGAAATTTCTTTTTGATGAGGACGTGACCAAGTTGTGTTAGGTAAAATAAAGACCACCTTGTTCACTTTGAGTTATTTTTAATATATTGATATTTCACTCAGAAAATATTTATGAACTTTTCACTATTGACTCAGAGACGTCTGTTGTCAGTTCATACCCATTTTAGATCCTGCAGATTTGTTACCTATGAACTGTTTGTTTGGTTTTTTTTTTTTTTCCTTCAGACTTCAGATACAGAATTTGATTCAAGACATATCAACACCAGTGGTCCAGGTCTTTCTTGTTTGTTTATTTAGCTAGTTTAGTCTGCTCCAGCCTAATCTAATAAATCTTTGTGGACCCAGCACACAGCTCAAGAACAAAAACATTAGTAGTAATTTACATTTAGCCATGCGCTCCTCTCTTTTTGCATATTCTTGCTTGTTCAGCCTCTGTGGACTTCATCTAAAATGGGGCAAGACTTGCTACAACGTTCTTTCATTCCATGATTGTATATGCTTCTCCACTCACTGTGTTAGTAAGTCTTGCAAAAAGCTTCTTCAACCTAAAGAGAGTAGTAAATTTATCATTGTACCACCTAGAAAGTAAACTTTTAAAATCTTTGGACCCCATAAATGTAACCATTTGCAAGGCTGTTGGTAGACATAATATTTATTATTCATTAAAAAACTTAAAAAAAATCTGTTGACTCTAAACCAAAACTTTAAAATACCATTAAAAACTTGAGATAAAGAGCTATCAGTTTGACTTTTAAGATTTCACATAAATGTAATAACACATGAGTTTTACTTTGTCTTATTTCACTCAGAATAATGCCCTCCAGATTCATCTATGTTGTCACAAATGGCAAGATTTCTTTTTCATAGCTGAGTAACACTCCAGTTCCTGTGTGTGTATCACATTTTATTTATCCATTCATTCATTGATGGACACTAATACATTGTTTCCATGTATAAGCTCTTGTGAGTAATGTTGCAATGAGCATGGGAGTGCAGATATCTCCTCCAGATAGTGATATTGTTTCCTTTGGATATATACCTAAAAGTGGGATTGCTGGATAACATGGTAGTTCTATTGAAAAAATTTTGAAGAACTGCCATACTGTTTTCCATAACGACAGTACCAATGTACTAAAGGTATACAAGGGTTCCCATTTTTCAACATTTGTTATCTCTTGTCTATTTGATAATAGTTATCCTAACAAGTGTGAGCGATATCTCACTGTGGTTTTGCTTTGCATTATCTTGATGGTTAGTGATGTTCAGCACCTTTTTAGTACCTGTTGGCTATCTATATATCTTCTTCAGAAAAACATTTACTCAGTTCCTTTGCTCATTTTAAAATTGGATTTTTGTTGAGTTGTATGAATTTAATTTTTTATTTATATTTTAGATGTTAACTCCTTGTCAGATACACGTTTTACGAATATATTCCCCCATTCCATAGGTTAACTTTCCATTTTGGTGGTAGTTTCCTTTGCTGTGCAGAAGCTTTTTAATATGATGTAGTCCCACCTGGTTTTTCTTTTGCTTCTGTTGCCTGTGCTTTTGGTGTCATATCAAAAAAAAAAAAAAAAAAAAAATCCTGACAAGACTAATGTCAAGGAGTTTTTCCCTTAGATTTTCTTCGAGTAGTTTTCAAGTTCCAGGTCTTATTTTTAAGTCTTTAATTAATTTCAAGTTAGTTTTTGTGAGTGGTGAAAGATGGGAGTCCATTTTCATTTTTTTTGCATGTGGATATTTAGTTTTCTCAGCACTATTTATTGAAAAGGCCATCCTTCATTGTGTGTGCTTGGTGCCCTTGTCAAAGATTAGTTGACCATATATGTATTGATTTATTTCTGGGCTCTCAGTTCTGTTCCTTTGATAAAAAAAACAGTATATGCTGGTACCATACTGTTTTGATTACTGTAGCTTTGTAATATAGTTTGAAGTCAGGAAATCTGATGCCTCCAGTTTTGTTCTTCTTTCTCAAGATTGCTTTGCTATTTGAGATGCTTTGTGGTTCCATACAAATTTTAGGATTATTTTTCCTATTTATGTGTAAAGTGCCATTGGAATTTTAGTAGAGATTGCATTGAATATGTAGATAACTGAGTAGTATGGACAGTTTAACAGTATTCTTTCAATGTGTGAATACGAGATATCTTTGTATTTCTTTGTGCCTTTAATTTCTTTCATCAGTGTCTTATAGTTTTTAGTGTAGTGATCTTTTACCTCCTTGGTTAAATTTAGTCATAAGTATTTTATTGTTTTTGATGCTATTGTAAATGAGAATGCTTTCTTAATTTCTCTTTCTGATAGTTTGTTAATAGTTTGCAGCTGGTTTTTGTATATCAATTTCATATCCTATAACTTTATTGTATTTGTTTATTCTAACAATTTGTTTTTTGTAGGGGGTCTTTAGAGTTATCTATATGTAAGATAATGTTGTCTGCAAGCAAAGATAATTTTTCTTCTTTCCTATTTGGATGCCTTTTATATCTTTTTTGCCTAATTGCTCTGGCTAAGACTTTCACTACTATGTTGAATAAAAGTGGTGAGAGTGAGCATCTTCGTCTTGTTCCTGATCTTAGAGGAAAAGCTTTTAGTTTTTCACTATTGTGGATGTTAGCTGTGAGCTTGTCGTATATGGCCTTTATTATGTTGAGGTACGTTCCTCTCTATACCTATTTTGCTAAGAGTTTTTATCATAAATGGATGTTGAATTTTGTCAAATGCTTTTTCTGTATTTATTGAGATGATCATATGATTTTTGTCTTTCATTTGTTAATGTGTATCACATTGATTGGTTTGCATATGTTGAATCATCCTTGTATTTCTGGAAT